GGTTCCCCCCCCCCCCCAGATCAATATGAAGGCGATGATAATGTAATTTTTAACTTTTTAAAAATGGAACTCAGTCTCAAACTGATGAAGAATTAAAGGGGAACTCAGTGCTGGGTGATCCCCAAAAAATTCTTTCAGATCACTTAAAACACTTTTTTTGCGTGTTTTCTTTTCTTTTTTTTAGGAAAGGGTGTGGGGGGGCGCTTTACTGCGCCTGCGACAGCATAGGTCTCATATGAACAGGCGGGGCACATTAAACTTTTTCAGTTTGGTAAGAATTTTTAATTTTGCCCAGGTGGGGGCCAAAGCTTAGCCTACTCTTTTGATTTTAAGAACACCAAGGGATCCTTAACTTGCGCAACTTACGGGACCTCCAAGATTTTTCGCCCTTATCCGAGAAGGCTATGTGTTAGATCTTACTTACCATAAGATCAGGTGACTGAAAGACAGCAGTCAGAATAGTCAGATAGAAGGGGCCAATGAGTGGCAGTAGTACAAATGTAGTAGTAGTAGTAGTAAAGGCTGCAGAAAGAGCCAGGAGCCCCAGATGCACCAGAGGAGGAGTCAAAACTACAAAAGGGGTGTGTGAGTGGGGGGGGGGGGGGGAGGGCAGAAAGTGAGGAGGAAAAACAGACGACAGAACTTAGAGCTGGGCGGTGAAAAGAGAAAACTTTAGAGAAGAAAAATGTCTGTCACAGTCATGTTTCAAACCTATTGAATGAGAGGCAAACACTGTAACCCAGGCTCTAAACTCTATATACCACGATCAGAGCCCCCAGAAAAACGTGTTTTATTCGCTAGCTATAGATCTAGTAAGGTTTAACAATGTTTCGTCCTCCTGCCCATGCACTGGCATGACGTGACGAACTAGGCTAATCGACTGCACTGTCGCCTGTGCTGTGAAGAAGTAGAGGAAGGAGTGTAGTGGAGGCAAACATTATACATGTAATAGGTCTATGCTATGATAATAAGGCCCAAGGATAGATCTAGGTCTATCTAGATCTAGATCTGGTCCTAGTAGACCCACTGCATTAATGAGGCCCTTACTTCTAGACCTAGATCTAGATCTAGATCTAGACTCTAGATCTAGATCTAGATCTAGATTTAGTACTAATTGACCGGGACACTGATACTAGATCTTCAGTCTATTATCTAATTTACAGCTAGATATCTAGATATCTATATCTATATCTAGAATCTAGATCTAGATATCTATATCTCTAGGATTCTAGGTCTAGAGTCGAGGTATTCTAGATCTAGATATCTATATCTCTAGGATTCTAGGTCTAGAGTCGAGGTATTCTAGATCTAGATATCTATATCTCTAGGATTCTAGGTCTAGAGTCGAGGTATTCTAGATCTAGATATCTATATCTCTAGGATTCTAGGTCTAGAGTCGAGGTATTCTAGATCTAGATATCTATATCTCTAGGATTCTAGGTCTAGAGTCGAGGTATTCTAGATCTAGATATCTATATCTCTAGGATTCTAGGTCTAGAGTCGAGGTATTCTAGATCTAGATATCTATATCTCTGGGATTCTAGGTCTAGAGTCGAGGTATTCTAGATCTAGATATCTATATCTCTGGGATTCTAGGTCTAGAGTCGAGGTATTCTAGATCTAGATATCTATATCTCTAGGATTCTAGGTCTAGAGTCGAGGTATTCTAGATCTAGATATCTATATCTCTGGGATTCTAGGTCTAGAGTCGAGGTATTCTAGTCTAGATCTAGTTAGGCCTACACAAGAGAAAAACGATATTAAGTACGGTTAATGAAAACGAAGTGACTATTTCTCCGAACGTTCGGAGAAATAGTGCCGATCTTTATTTCTCCGAACGGTTTCCGGCTTCCGCTCTGGTCG